GTTTTGAGGAAGCAATCATATACTTTTGCTGCAGTGGAGAATTACCAAGGAGCCTGTTCTCCAACTGCAGCATGGGCAAAGGAGCCGTTCAGGTTACAGGGAGTAGCAGGGTGGTGTGCATGAGGAGTGTGATGTCTGAAGGTTGCACCCTCAGTTCCCCCTGGTTTGGAGTTCTCCTTTTCATACTGAAGGTTGCTCTTGAGTATTTGTATTTACCCCCACCCTCATCCTGATAATCACCTGACAACACTCCTGAATATTTTTGAGTTAAAAAAAAAAAAAAAAAAGATGTTGCATTTTTAAATATCTACATTTGTGACAGCATCATACTTTCCTGATTCTGTTACATTCAGGAAGCACCTACAGGTGGAGTAAACTAATATGGTAAAGCCAGTAATTGTACAGTTTTGGTTCAGGTTGCTTTTACAAAATATTTAACACTAACTATTGGTCCTGTCTTCTGTAAAGCCTGAGTCTGTTTCAAGTGAAAATGTGCCAGAGGGTATCTGGGAGGAACATGTCAGCAAGTACTTAGAGATAATCCTCACATCTTTCCTCCAGTAATTCGTTTTGCAGTACCCTTTCTTGTCAAACTGGAGATGAAAAAATTGCCCCCTCTGAGTTGATGAGATTGATTTCTTTTACAGGCTATGTTGTAACTAGTTTATGTAAAATGAAATGTGTGTCACAAAAAATAAACTGCTTAGTAACACTGAATAAAGAAGTGAAATGTTTCTTTATATTGATGGCAAGATGTTTTCTTGAGTAAGGGCAGAAATATCATGAGACTGCTATCTGATCTGTTGTTTAACACATTTTTGGCTGTTTGGCTGGGAATGCAAATATTATGTGGCGTTATAACTTTAATGTTTTAAATAATTAAGGGCTTACTTAGTGTAAGCTAAACTAAGCACATTCCAGAATATTAATTTCTATAGTATGGGTCATTCAGGAATAGCTGTCCTATATTTTCTTCTAGAAGACATATGCTTTACATTGTAAGAAGAGGTAGATACGCGGACGAAGAAATCTTACATTTTTTTAAATTCAGACATAATAAGAAATTACATTCATACATGGTTCATCGTTAGATATTGTCATTTATTATCATCATCAGTTATTTTAAAAGTTTTCTTATCAAATGAATTCGCTATGGCACAAATACTAAAAAACATACTTAGCATGAATCATAATGAAACATGTGTTAAGCTCTTTTTCTTTGTGATTCTTTCTATTAAAGCAGTGGTCATTTCAGGACAATCAGAGAGAATCCTTGATATTGGGTTTCTAGGGATGTCAGTAGGTTCATTCTATGTAAGGAATTTGAAGATCTTCTTGCAGCGTTGGGGGAAATGGAGGAAAGAAATGTTTGCAAATTTGCTTGTGCATATGAGAAATGCTATCTCTATTTATTAAAACATCATGGAATTGAGAGGGCAGGGGAAAAATAATTGTGCACTGAATAATGTTTTGTTTCTAGCGTTTTCTTTCCTCTGATTTGCAATTAAATGAACTTTCATTCTGTCTTTATGGAGAGAAATATGAGGAAGAAGAAGAATGCTTGAAATTAACTGGAATCACCTAGTGAACATCCTACTTCTTGACTACAGACTCAGTCTTCAACTTTTCAACCTGTCTTGTTACAATTCCACTCTGGATAATTATTTAATATGTATAGGGCTCTGTCTTTCAGTGGGTAAGAATAGGATGTGAAAGAATCAGGATGTATTTACATGGCCTTTTGCAAGAAGATGCCCACTGGTTCTATCTATGCAAGAAAAATATTTGAAGAATAATATAAACTTGAACATGCATCTCACAAATGACAGTCATGAAGACAACTCTACTGGCTGCTCAGCCTTGTCTTTCTTGGATTTTAACTAAAAATTCAGTCTGTATGTGTTGAAAAATAAGTTAAAGTTAAAATAAAATATTCCCTAGTGAAATTTCCATCAAAACTGCATGTTTCAGAGAAAGGTTGTAGTTTCAGTATGACATTTTTAATAGAAAAAATATTTTTAAGCTGTTTTGACAAGCACTACAAAACATTCCTCCTGTGTTAATGGTCTTTAAAGAAATTTGGTGAAGTGCTAGAAGTGTGCTACATGTTGTATTAGTAAAAAAGGGTAGATTCCTAACAAATGAAAAGATGGTTACGGCTGCATAAGCCCTCAATGGATCTGGGTGTGCAAAAGCCCTCAATGGATCTGGGTATCCTAAAGTCTGGGCAGGAGGAGACTGAGTTCAATGTACCAATGTACTATTAACAAAAAGGGATACCTTTAATATCTGGTTCCAGTTTTGTATGCAGGTTAGCATATATCAGTGCTTTTTGCTAGGGTCTTCTTTATAGCCCTGTTATCTATTAAAAAGAATCAAGCATATTTTTTCTTACAGACTGCATTAAGGAAACATTTAAGCCTTTAAGAAAGTCAGCAACTTTTAGCATAGTCTATCTGATAGCAACTGGATTGTCATACTGTCTCTTGGCCTCAGTTTCTACTTCTGCCAGTGGTTTCTTCGAGACCTTCTACACTAAATTGATGCATCTAATACTTTATTTCCTTGTCTTTTATTACTGGTGCAGGAAAAATAAATGTGTAAGAAGTACTGAAACAAAGTGTTACCATTGCTGCAACATTTAGTAGATATTGGTTAAATGCTGCTGACTAATTCATCTTGAATTCACAAACAGTTTTGGTGTTCTTGAAGCGCTCCATTTTGGCTGAGGCATGGTGCATCGATGATAGCTCAAATGCACCATTCAGCTCCATTCCACCACATTGGCTTTGCGCAAAAATCCAAAGTTCAATAAGAGAGCAAGAGACTATTCTTTGACTGTGTATTATTTGATATAAATTAGGAAATACTGCGAATCTTGTGGGAAAACTCCTCCTGTGAGATTTCCAACATAAATTTCTGGAAGCAAATAGTCTAGTGTAAGTCTAGGTATTGATAAAAGCTAACTGAAGTTAACTTTTCAGTTAATAACATTAACTGAATTTTAGCCTCTTTCTTTGCTGCAAAGTGAATAATCTTGAAGAAAGAATGCTTGATGGCTGAAACAGTTGATACTAGTTGAACTACGGCTATATTTGAAAACTATTTTGCTTGATAAATTCTTTGTGTGCCATCTTTTATAAATTGAAATATAGATTTTCTGTGTTGGGTACCTTCAGTTAATTTTAGTAGCAGTTGAGAATCTATAGATTCGGTCTGAAGAGAACTTAACCTCTTTCTCTGCCTTTGTTAGAGGATGCAGGTAGCCAAGGTTGGTAACGCTGAGGTTTCACCTTAAACATCCCACTCTTCTTCTTTCCATTTGTAAAATTTCATTTTCTGTCATGCTTTTTGATTCTGTCTTTACTTACTCAGCCTTAAAAAATAATCATTTGAGTTCAATCAATGGAAAGAAAATCCAGAGTGCGTAGTAACATGTCCTTATTTTCCTAATATGTATCCTTCATTTCTAAGGAAGAACATTTTAAACAGAACTCATAGTCTTTTATGTTTTTCAAATATCCATCCAGACGAATTGCAAGCGTTACATGCTATGCCTTAAATTTTGAAGTGAGAGTGATTATTTCCATATTCTTCTTTTATTTTTATCTTAAGGTAAGGCAAAATGCAAGCAGAAGACTGTCATTCTTATTTTAGAGCTCACAGCCCACAGCCTAGCATGAAAAGAAATTTGAACTCCTGCCAACTCTTGGCCACTCTACAGAGGGAAAATCACTACAGACTAGAACGGGCTTCTGCTTAATGCAGAACATGTCATTCAGACTGGCTGTTCCGTGCAAGCAAGAGTGGGGAAACAGTGTCCGTGAGCAACAGTAGGGTTTTCAGAGGCCGTCAGTTCTTACGAAATTACCAAGGACCGGCAGATGGCGCTGTTGCAGATGACGATCTTGTTGCTTTTTCCTACCAAATATAGCCATAAATTCTTGAAAAAATACATGCTATATTATGACCCTTTTCAAAACATGAGGATGTTCTTTCTATCTAACTATGTTCTTTCTATCCGTGATAGAATTATTTTCTTAAATATGTCCTAGAGTTTTTAGCAGCCTGATAACAAAGGCAAGTGCAAGGTCCTGCACCTAGGCAGGAATAATCCCATGCACCAGTACAGGCTGGGGGTTGACCTGCTGCAGAGAAGGACCTGGGAGTGCTGGTGGACAACAAGTTAAACGCGAGCCAGCAGTGTGCCCTTGTGGCCAAGAAGGCCAATGGTCTCCTGGGGTGCATGAGG